GTAGTTGAGGAGGAGACGGGCACGAGCTGATTGTGCGAAATTTGACATTTCATCTTGGCTTGAATTCAATGATCACTTCATTACATGCTGTATGCCTTTTGAACCTTTCTCATCTTGCAATTGAACCTCTCTCATCTAATACATATTTACACACCGCGTAACAACAATCACGTTAAGTCGAACATGTCTGAGTATTCTACACTTTCAACAGGATGGATGGGGTCAGATTCATGTGTTGAACCATCACCCATCGAGCTCCATCATGAACATCTCTTGGTCAAACATAAGGCAGGATATGAGGAGGAGGGGGGGGATGAGGCCTCACGTTGGATCCGGCATGGTGCCCGATGGACAGTCGATGAGCATAGAGAAATGCGACAACACAGCGAACATGGCGCCCGAAATAGAGAAGAAGGGCCCCTCTTCCCCCCAATGACCCACTCATCATCCCCCTCATTTCTTTGTCGTCATCCCCGCTCTGACCAGAATCCAGAAGACTCTGTATTTTATTGTTGAAGTCTCATTTTACTGTGGAAAACTATAAATTTCACAGAAAAATAATGCGACCCAAATCACCTACAGGACATTCGGCCTTGATGCGGGATGGCGGGAGAGTTGGTGGAGGCGATGCGATACAAGGTGAGGAGATGGAGGGGCGAAGAGAGCATGGTGGATCCGAGCAGAGGGTAGAGAACAGCAGCGGGAGGAGAGGGAAGAAGGCAAGGCAAGGCAAGGCAAGGCAACCAGAGAACAGAAGAGTGGAGAAGGCAATGGAAGGCGAAAGAAGGGAAGGGGAGGGAAGAAAATAAGGGAAGCGCTCAAGACACAAAGGAAAGGACGGCAAGAGGATAAGGGAATGATGAAGCACACGGCATTCAGAGCTTCGTGTGAAAGCAGAGGAGACATGTCGTGTAGAAAGAAACAGCTGAAATCATGATGCCACCTGATGTCACCGACTTTCTTGTCTCATCTGCCATGCCCTCCCTCGTTCGCCTGCTTCCCTGGAGATGACAAGATGTCCAACACAAGTGTGTGATGTCCTGATTTCACTCAGGAGAACGGAAACGCAAGGCTGCGAAAGGGAGATCTGCAAGGAGCCCTGGAGGCGTACACGCAGGGAATCAGCAAGGAACCTGATGATGAACTGTTGGCTCAGGTGGGCAGAAAGATCTATCGTGTTCTATGTGACTCTCATTCTCCGATAGCTACTCTCCAACAGGTCTGCATGTCTTGTGGAGCTTGAGGTGAGTACGACTTGGTTGTGTTCTTCCATGATGACAGATGTTGTTGCTGTCAGAGAGCGGAACAGGCTCTCGAAGATGCAGAGAGGTGCGTGAAGATCAGACCAGCGTTCGCAAAGGGACATTTCCGCATGAGCCAGGCATTGCTGGACCTGGCGCGATCGAGGTGTTGCGTCGTTGAAGATGATGTTTTCTCTTGACACCCAAGATAGGTTGAAGGAGAGAGGAGGAGGAGGAGGAGGAGGAGGAGGAGGAGGAGGAGGAGACATTTCTTCGGTGCACGATCTGTTTCTCTCATCATGGATGTCTGCTGCGCGTGCGCTCGAGCTGGATGGGGAGAGCATGTTGTATCGCGATCTCCTACTGGCACTGGAGGAGGAGGTTTCCAAGATGGAGAAAGGCGCTGACAGGGATCGGATCTTGGCGGAGATGCGCAGATACAGCCAAGGGAATCCTTCTTTGGTGATTGTGTTTTGAAGTTGTAACTGTGCATAACAACTCCGATCCCAAAGTCTCGCTCGCTCTCCAACGGACTCCCAACAAAGAGGAAGGATGAGTCAGGTGTTGGCTGACACATCACAGCTTGTCCCGGTGACCTGTTTGCAATGAGCAGGAGGGGGGAAACTCCCTGTGACAGTCTTGAGTGGATTTCTTGGGGCCGGAAAGACAACCCTTTTGAAGCATCTGATTCTAAACACCTCTGGGTACAAGGTTGCAGTGATTGTAAACGACATGGCAGGTGGGAAAGACTAAATCTTTTTTGTTTTCCGGTCTTGTACAAACTTTTCTATTTGTATGTCTTGGACATCTTTGACGAACTTTTCTGGTTCTCTTTCAGACGTCAATGTTGATGGGTGGATTGTGGATAACGCGAATTTGAGCGTGACAAGGACTGAAGAAAATCTTGTGGAACTGAGCAACGGATGTATATGCTGTACATTAAGACAAGTATGGACTGTGTTGAGCTGCTAGATTCATGAATGTTACTGATGGATGAACAGGATCTGATTCATGAAGTGTCGAGGATTGCATTTGAGGTGAGAGCGCATGTGCAAGCAGTGACAGCGCATGTGCATGCTGTGGTGGAGTGATCAGATCAGATCAGATCAGATCAGATCAGATCAGATCAGATCAGATCAGATCAGATCAGAATCAGATGCAGTTGAAGATGAGATAGAGGCTGCCTCGAGAGATGCTTCTCATCGCTCTTCCATGACCAACAGCTCAAACTCGTTTCCCTCAAAGCGCTGATGAAGTTCTGTGCAGAATCGCTTTCAATACCTCCTCATCGAGAGCACCGGCATCTCCGAACCTCTCCCGGTGACTTGCCGTCTCTTTGCTGTCCACTGTCTCGCTCCTCCTAGTTGGGGTGATGAAACGAACAGGTTGCACAAAGTTTCATGATGCAAGACTTGGAAGGTCGTAATCTGTCTCAGATCGCAAGATTGGACACCTTGGTATGTTGAGACGGCACTCAACAAATCTCTCCCCCACTGCATGACTGCTGTCTGTTGAAATTCTTGTTTGTTGACATTCTCCTTCCAAGCCCTGTTGTCCTAGTGAGGAACTCTCTTCTCACCCTGACCTCTTTGGAGATATTTTATCCCTTTTCTCTCCTCCCTCCCTCCCTCCCTCCCTCCTCATACTGCATTGTCACCTAACAAGTGATCAATGTGTTCTTTTCGTCCTCACCTCCCTCTGTTGTTGCAGGTCACTGTCGTCGATGCGTTTCAGTTCTCCAAAGATTTTAGCTGCGGGGAAAAACTCAAGTGATGGGAGATTTATTCTGCCTTCCCTCACCCGCCTTCACCCCCCACCTCCCCCCTCCTCCTTCCTCTCCCTCCTCCCTCCCTCCTTCCTCCTTTCCCTCCCTCCTCCCTCCCTCCCTCCTCCCTCCTCCCCCTCCCTCCTTCCTCTCTACCTCCTCCCTCGCATTCTTCTTCCTCCGTCCCTTCTTCTGATTCTTGTCCAACTGCATCCAGAGACCGGAAAATGGCAACGGGAGAGGACGATGAAAGGACTCTCTCAGATCTTCTCGTGGACCAGGTGAGGAAGAGGAAGAGGAGGAGGAGGAGGGGAAGGAGTAGGAGCAGAAGCAGGAGCAGGAGGAAGAGGGAGAGGAGGACGAGGACGAGGACGAGGAGGAAGAGGGAGAGGAGGACGAGGAGAGCAAGAAGCCGAGACGAGAGGAGCAAAAAACATCGAGGAGCGACAAATTTGGAGAATGCAGGAGGAGGGTTGCAAGAGCAGGAGCGTTATTTCTATTCTGCTAACAGACTTCAAGATTGAATTTGCCAACGTTATCATTCTCAACAAATGCGACCTTGTACCTCCCTCGGATATCAATGTGACCAAACCCTCCCTCCCTCCCTCCCTCCCTCCCTCTCCTCCCTACCTCCCTCCCTCCCTCTCCTCCCTCCCTCCCTTTCTCACCTCTCCGTCCTTCATTCTCCTTCTTTCTCCGTTTCATCGACGATCCCACCTGCCGCCAACCTTCGTCTCCATTCTTGTTCTTTCTTCACTCCTTCCTCCTCCCCTCCTCTCCTCTCCCCTCTCCTCTCCTCTCCTCTCCTCTCCTCTCCTCTCCTC